CACATAATACAACTCTACTGCAGCTTATGAGCCAGCAGGTTATACTATAGCTAACTTTAGAAAGCTACCCACCAAGAAACTCTTCCTGAAGTGCTTCCAGATGGTCTCAGATACAGACATCACTCTTAAAGAGTTCTGGAAGGAACATTACAACATACTTTTCTGTGTGGGTTAATTGAGAAATTCTGGGCCAATGTCTCTCTAAGGACACTGAGAACTGCCTGGAAGAAAGTATGGCCTAAAATTGTACAGGAAAGAGACTTAGAAGGCTATGTAGAGAGTCTGAGCCTTCAATTGACCCTGTGGCTGGTGACTTTGTCACTGTAGCAGAGCCCATAGGTAGACATCAGTGATGCTGAGGAACTGGTAGAAGAACATTCAGAGGAATTGTCTACAGAGGAGCTTTAGCAACTTCTGGTTGAGCAACAGAGAATAGCAGCTGAGTTTCCTTAAGAGCAGAGGTAGTACCAGCAATCAGTGCAGCAATATTCTTCTGCTGAAATAAAGGAAATCCTGAAAAAATGAACAGAGCTACAAACATTTGTAGAGAAGACCCACTCAGAGAAATAAAACAGTCCTTGCATTCACTTGCTTAATGATAATGTTATGTCATACTACAGAACAGCATTAAAGAAAAGACAGAAACAGACAACCTTAGGCCAGTTTTTGGTTCTGAAAAGGTTGCAATCTGGTGATCCAAATGCAGGATATAGTGGGCTACAGACTCTCCCAAGGAGAGAAAGGACATCAGAGAGCCTGATCCATGTCATTCTCATGGAGGGGGACTCTCCTTCCAAAGAAAAAACACCTTCGATATCATCCTCCCTTCTTGCAAAGATACCAATTTGACTGGTGAGTACAGTATGAAATTGTTTTTGGTAAACTGGCACATTTTATAACTTTTTGGTGAATAGAGTAGGAAAATTATTGGTGTTTCTGATCAATCACACACATATATATAATGGATTAACTAATGGTAACTTGTAACACCCAGATGAACTGAGTCAACATGGTTCTAGGTGTGGAAAACCCACCTGAGGATTGTTTTCAACAGCATTAAAAGAGAACTGGAGGGGAAGATGGTATATTGTGGATTCTCCTGGAGAAGCTTGTCATACTGGTTTTCTTGATATGAGCTCAACTGTTCTCAGCATCAGAGGAGCTCAGGTCTTCACTGTTACTGAGGATGGCTATAATTCTCCTCAGGAGAGATTTGGTCTTTAACTGGAGCATCACTGCTTGGCTCCAGTGCAGATCCCTCAGCCTGCTAGCACAGATCCTTCATCCCATTGGCACAGACTTTCTAACTTCCACCACTGGCCTTTGGGCCTTCCCAGTGTGGATCCTTGATCCAGACTTGCATGAGACATTGTCATGGACTCTAGGCCTTTAGCTGAACTTGTAGAGAACACTGGCATGGAATCTAAGCCCTCAGCTTAGTGCATTCTTCTCCATGTGACTTTTTGGGTAAATATTATAAAATAATCCTATAAATTATGTGTCCTATATTAAATATATTTCCTTGCAAACCCTGACTATAACATTTTGCAACCCTTTTTTACTACGCAAATGTTAGTTAAGGAGTGCTTTGGGAGGTTCAGAATGCATTATGGGATTTCCATTATTTCTTATGGGAAAAACAGTCTTGACTTACAACCGACTTGAATTACAAGCAGCACTTAAAGATGAACTGAGTTTGTAAATCAAGGGTCCACTGTATTACTCCAAATATTGTTCTAAAATGCACTCCTTAGTTTCCATTATGTTGCTTAATTATGCAGTTTCTTTTATTTTAATATAGTATTTCCAGTAATAGAAACAAAAATATAGGATGCATCCCAAATTTCCAATAAAGAATAATTCTATACCCTGATAGGGATTCAAACCAAGAGACTATTGTTTACAGTGAGCCTGAAAGAAAGAGCATCTGAGTTACTGTCTAAACCAGAGATGAAACGTAAAGGCAAAAATCTTGGGTTCGAAATTCAAACAGGCCATTTTGTTTGTTCGTTTGTTTTGTTTTTAACTGCTAACTGTGTGTAAATACACAGCTAGGGTGGGAGAGGAGGACCTTAATAGTCCCACAAGGCTAACAGTGAAGCCTGACAGCGGCATTGCTGGCAGCCCTTCACCCCTTCCTGCAGAGCCGCTGCCTCAGGGCCCCAGCCCTTCCATGGGCACTGAACTGCAGATGCAGTGTCTTAACCAGGACAATGGGCCTCTCAAGGTCTGGCCTAGAATCTCCAACTCTGTTAAACAGTACAAAAGCCAAAAAGAAGTCCAGAGACAAATCAACTGACCTAGAAAACAGGCGAGTCATTGTTATTGAAACATATAAATTTAATATTAGAAATTAAGAGAAGGACATGGGCAACTGAATCACTGAGTTTTTCCTTAAAAGGAAAACTCCACCTAGTTACAAATCATCTGGGGACTCAGTTTACAAGCATACTGAAAACTGGGTTTATAGTGCACACTACGGTCAAAGTTTCCCTATCTTTCATGGTCTTCCAAGGAATTTAGCAGAATGTAACTAATAAATACTTAATAAAAGTCTTCTGAGTGACTATGTCAATGGTTGAATGAATAATTAAAAGAATGAATTAATCAGTGAACCAGCGCATTTTCCTAGGCTTCAACCACAGACAAAAATTAACTGTATCTAAAGCTATTTATAAAATTAAATCCAGACTTAATGGATTGGTTATATAAATTTCCTTCAGGGCTCACCATGGCTATTTCTTAAACTCCCATTATCTGCTCGGATTCAAACAAGTGACAAGTGCTGCTCTTACAAGTATCAAAGACAACTTCTTGCTAACTTCAAACTTTTCCCTCAGGCAACACCCGTCTTTCTGAGGCAAGTGATACAACTGGAAGTTATTCTTTAAATGTGTAAATCTATACAGTAGCAGAAATTAAACAACTTGTTATAATTGAAGAAGTAGGCTTGATATAGAGCCTATTTAATTTTCCTGAAGCTCAATTTAATATCCATTTCTGAATGGGATACCAGAATGTAATCTGAACCAACTGAGGGTACTTCTGATAATCTTTAAGCCCATCTCGGGTCCTAACTACCACATCACACAGTCATTTCATCTCTGGACTTTACCTAAGAAGCTGGGCTAAAAGGCTTTATGAATGGCATTATTGCTTCACATAATGGCACGCACCTGTGATTGCAGCACTCTGGGAGGCTGAGGCAAGAGGATGGAAAGCTCAAGCACAGCCTGGGCAATTTAGCAACTTAGCAAGACCCTGTCTCAAAATAAAAAAAGAGAAAAAGGGCTGGAGATGTAGTTCAGTACAAAGGCCCTGGTTTAAATCTCCAGTAGAGAAAAGAGAGAAAGAAAGAAGGAAAAAGGGAGAAGGGAGAAAGAAGGAAGGAAGGAGGGAAGGAAGGAAGAAAGAAAGGAAGGAAGAAAGAAAGGAAGGAAGAAAGGGAGAGGGAGGGAGGGAGGGGGAGAGAGGAAAAGAAGAAGGGAGGTGAAAGAAAAAAGAAAAAAGCCAAAGTAAAAGGCCTTATTAGGTCATATCATCTACCCTAGAAATACGCTGAGAGGGGTAGGACCCTGTAAAGTCTGATTACAGCTTTCTTCCCTTTTGCTTTCTTACTCATCCCAACCAAAAGAATCTGTAGAGGGTTCGATAAGAAGTAGCTTTCAGTTGGAGTAAAGATAGCTTTCCCAACCATTACAAGCTCTGACATTCAAGAGACTATTTTGAAACTCAAAAACACAAAAACTGATCCATTTTTTGCTTTATGTCCTACTTATATGTATGTATGCATATGTGATGTTATCCTTAATAAATTTCTATGAAAATAAAATTTTCATTATAAATGGTTTATTCAATACATAAGGATACTGACATTTTATTAGCAATTTGTGAGTGTCATTTCTCTATACCATGTATATATTTACCATTTTAAATTGAAAATGGAATATTTGTGTTGATTTATATTTACTAGATTATTAGGGAGACTGATCATTTCCCTATAGACCATTTGTGTTTTTATAATGATTTGCCCATTACTTGAACAATTCATTTGCTCATTTTGGTTAGATGTTCATTGACTTATAAGAATGGCATATAGAAAATGTTAATAAGTTGACCCATAAATTTCAAGTATCTGTCTGAATTATTATTTGCCCCCTTAAAGTATTTATGATATCGAAACATAAAATTAAGGAATCTTATTTTGTGATTCTTACATTTCAGAACTTCTTTTCCATTGCAAGATGACAAACATTCATTTTTGTTTTACTTTATGCTCTTACTTTACATTAAAATGTTCAATCAACACGTTATACTTAGCTTACAGTATGACTGGGATCTCTATTATTTTGTGTCATTTACTTATTATTTGTTCCAGCATAGTGTGGTAATAATCTTCCTCTTTTGTCTAACTTGCACATCTATCATATATTAAAATTTTAAATATGATCCCCTTATGGATTCTGCTGTGCTCTACTACCTCATTACCTGTAAGGACTATTTTAATCATTGTAGATTATTAATAAATTTTAATGTCTGATAGGAAAATTCCACCTTTATTAATATTTTGGGGTTTCTTTTCCAAAATTTTCTTAACTCATACTTTACTCACCCAGATAAAATTTAGAAATTCTAAGTGTTATCATAATCATTCCTTATTTTTCATCCTAACTTGAACCCCCATCTAATCCATTCTGTACCCCAATGCCATATACAGTTTACCTAAAACATACTAAGCAAGAATGGTGGGGCTGGGGATTTAGCTCAGCGGCAAAGCGCCTGCCTGGCAAGCACAAGGTCGTGAGTTCAGTTCCCAGTACCGGAGAAAAACAAAAAAAAATAAAAAACTAAGCAAGAATGGTGATAGTATTATATCCCATTTACCTTACCTTCTTGAACTTTCAAACTTTGGATTTTCAGTAGGGTACTAATTTCAGATTGTCTCTTGGGGAAGAGAACATTGACACTCTCTGCTTCAGAAAATGGCCTTGTCTTTTCAGAGTGTGGAAGGAGAACACCATGAGAAAGCTGTGGAATTACTCAAGGCTGCTAAGGACAGTGTCAAGCTGGTGGTCAGATACACCCCAAAAGTCCTGGAAGAAATGGAGGCTCGCTTTGAAAAGCTACGGACAGCCCGGCGTCGACAGCAGCAGCAATTGCTCATTCAGCAGCAGCAACAGCAACAACAGCAACAAACACAACAAAACCACATGTCATAGGTGAGAAGATCCTTATTCTGCATAAGCAAAGTCCTTTCTATAAGTACGTTTGCTATTCTGAAAAACATCATTTCTTATCTGAAACAAAATCATTATATTTAATGCACAAATTAAATCAATCAGGAAAATTCCATGATCTAAAAAATGTAAACAGGGTAATAATCTCCTTTTAGTGGGGGTGGTGGGAAGACAGGGTCTTGCTATGTAGTTCAGGCTGGCCTTGAACTTATGGTGATCCTTCTGCCTTAGCCTCCTGAGTGCTGGAATTACAGGCACGCAGCACCACACCAGGTTAATAAGGTAATATCTATGTCTCGTGCAGCTGTACTATCCACAAATGTAAAATATTTTGGAAAATAATACACTTTGGAGGAAGCAAATAAGTTCTAGGATGCCCTTATACAAATACAAATTGCAAAAATACAGCCTCTATACTCACCCAGATCCACATGAGAGGAGTGTGAGCTGGATTCTTGTCACCACTCAAGGTTTAACCAGTGGTCTTTATGCAGTGCACAAACTGCACAACCTTATGGTACTCAACTTGCACAGATCTCTCTTAGAATTCTAAGATATAGTTTATTAAAAAAATTGTTTCATCTGAAAGAACAAAGTAGACACCTGCCAGTGCCTATAATCTGAGAGACCTTAAAGTTCTTTTAGCTACTAATTTAAAATATGTCTCAAGTTCCTCCTGCCATGTTCTAAATTCCCCTGTGTGACAAAGAATGCTAAATCAAGGTTTGCTTTGTACGTTCAAGAAAATTTAAGAAAAAATATTAATAGCAAAAAGCACCATGTGTGAAGTGCCTATAGCATGTGCAAGGCTCGTAACACACTTTCTGCCTCATCGTCTCATATTCAATCTTTTAAGGAAACTATCAGTAAAATCCCATGTTTTTGGAAAAACAATCTGAAGCTGCAGTAGTGTCTGTGGATTCCTCATAACCACACTTAAAAGTAGCACAGAAGTATTTTTCTTGTTACTCTGCCAGGTGTACTCTCAAAGTCAGATGTTCTAAAGTTATATAAACTTTCCTTGCTCTTCTGTGGAAAAGACAGCTCCTACCATTAGATACTTTTACACTGTGGTGTCTGCAAGGGTGTATTTGAGATGAGGCTCAGTGGTTTTCTGACAAAATGGTAATTATGTGTGATGGTGATTTTTAAGTTATTCATATCAGATTGCTCTGTGCACAACCAGAAACATTAGATATATCATGAAGCTGTTGATTTTTTGTGATGCTGGTGAAAAAAAGAAGCCACATAAGAAAAACAAACCGAGAGTACAGGATGTGTCCTCTGACACTCCTGGAAATGCAATGTTCTGTCTTTCAGAGCCACTTAGTTTTATTCTATGTACTATATTTGTATCTTCATTGGAAATTATATTCCATCTAAAAAGTATATTTATTGAACAACAGATACTTAGTTGGCACTGTTATGAGCCAGCCATTATTCAGTGAGCTGCACATACAGCAGGAGCAAAGAAAAGTCCTTGCTGTCATGATGCCTACAGATCGGTTGGAGGAGTGTCTTGGTTACTTTTCTCTCATTGCTGAGACAAAATACCAGACACCTAGAATTAAGGAAGGAGACTTTTATTTAGCTCACAGTCTGTAGAGGTTTCAGTCCATACTCAGCTGGCTCCAAGGCAGGCTGGCACATGGCAGAGGCAACTGGTGGAAGACAGCAAAAGCCACAACCAGAGCAAAATGTAGGAGAGGCAGCAAGCAGCCTCTTTCTCTCCCTTACATATGCAAACTATCTGCCCCAAGGGCAGGTGTAGCACTCACACCCATAATCCCAGCATTGGACTATGGATCAATCATAAATCTAGGGGCCCAACTCAGGACTGCATGAGGATTTGGGAAGACATGCAGACACAAACCATAACAAGGAGATAATTAGTAAAAAAAAATAAAGTAACAAATACCTTACTAGGACCACTTGTTTGCAGACTTAAGAGTGCAAGTAGAGATCGGCTAGCTTGTGACTTTAGACTAAGTTGTCAGCAAGACCCCTCAAAGGAAGTAAGATTTAAATAAAACTGAATGACAAGAAGCCATGCAAAGAATAAGAGGAGGAAGTAGCAGTGCAGTAGTGCAGGAGGTACATGTTGTTTGAAGGACAGAAAGAAAACCTGGATTGCTAGAGACTGATGAGTGAGCAAAGGAATATAAGGCCAATGAGATGGGTGATGGGCCAGATCATAGAGAGCTGAAATTAGAAAATTAGGTTTTATTGCAGTGGAAGATATGAAAGATTTTTAATCAAAAGAGTAACAAGATCCATTTTATGTATGAGTAGTTCATTCTAGCTGCTGTAAGAGTGGATTATTACTGGCTAAGAGTGGAACCAAAGACCAAGTAGAAGATTAATATAGAGCAGTCTGAGCAACTGGTACTGTAACTCTGATTAGGATGCTGTAGTTGAGATGGAGTACTATTTGTCCACAGCCTTCTCTTAACTATTTATACTTCCAAGATCTTTTCAGAGGTCTTTTGGATAATAACGACAGTTCATTATTCTTACCAAATACCAGCACACTTTCTAGCAATACTGTTCTTTCTTCCATATTGAAAATTAGATTTAAAACAACTCTTTTCATTGATTTAAAATATTGATGCTAAGTAGAATTGTTCAGAAGTGTTTCAAAAGACATATTTTGCCATTCAAATTTCTGAGGTCTTACTAAGAGCTTTCAACGTGTGCTCATGTAGTTATCTTTGGAAGTATTCAATTCGGTCAGAAATGTTTGCTGGGCCATTACTCAGTTTCATTTCTCCTTTCCATCAGTCTTCATTAAGTCACCTCAAAAATTTCCCATCATTTCCTTACCAAAGACTAACATTTTTAGCAAAAGACATTCATAAACTGTGTTTTCTTTTGTTCTTTTGCACAAGGTACGGTAAAATTCTATTCATGTAAATATGAAACTTATATTTGCACCTGTCAGGACAGTATTTGCAGTGCACACAATCTTGACCCATAAAATTTCACTTCGACAGCAGGAATCAGCTTTAATGATCTATTCACAGAATGGTGACTATAATATGTAGTTATGCTTTGTATATTTCAAAATCACTAAAAGAGTAGATTTTCAATATTCTCACCACACAAAAATATAGAAGTATGTGAGGTGACAGATTTGTTAATTATTCTAGTTTAATGATCCCACAGTATAAACATACATCAAAACATCATATTGTGCCCCATAAATACATGTAATTATTGTCAATTAAAAATAAAAATTTCAAAAATTATTATCTGGGAATTTTTAAAAACAAAAGTGCCACAATGTCTCCCTGGAGTTGAGGAAGCTATAGGGGAAAATTCATTTTCTTGCCTTTTCCTGCTTTTAGAGACTGAATTCTTTGCCTCATTATCCTTTCTGCCAATGCAATATAGTATTTAGATAGAAAAAGAATTTGTTTTATATGAACTTATGCTTCATATGGCAAAAATTAACTCAATTATTAAAATTGAACAAATAATATTGTTCATACTAATAAGTTAGGTCTACATTTGAAATAACTATGTAGAGTTTCATATATAGTTATACAATAGTTTCACCAGCATCTTCTGGATGGACATTAAGGTCATTAAATTTCATGTACAGTATTGAATTTGATTTGTTAATATTTTGTTGAGAATTCTTATTATCTTTGTTGATAAAAAATATTAGCCTGTGCATTTATTTTCTTGTGTTTATCTCATTGCTTTTTTAGGGTAATTCTGGCCATGTAGAATGAATTTGAAAATATTTCCCTGGCTTTTATCTTCATAAAGAGTAGAGAATTTTTATAATTTTTTCTGTATCTGAGCTGGTTATTTTAGGAGATTTATTAATTTTCAATTCAATTTATTTTATAAAGATAGACCTAATGAGATTATCTGTTTCTTCTTATATGCAGTTTTGCAGATTGTTTTAAGGAATTAGTCCAGTTCATCCAGCTTATCAAACTTTTTAATATAGGGTTGTACATAGCATTCTTTTATTATCCTTAGAATGTCCATTGGGGTTGGTGTGCTGTCACCTCTGGTTTCTGATAGTAATAATTTGTGTTCTTTTTCTTTTTATGTGTTAGCCTTGCTGGAGGCTTATTAATTTTATGGATCCTTTCAAAGAAATAGTTTTTGGTTTCATTGATTTTCTGTATTAATTTCTTCTTTTCAATTTCATTCATTTCTGCTCCACTAATTTCTGTTATTTCTTCTGCTTACTTAGTATTTAATTTTTTTTCTAGTTTTCTAAAATGGAAGCTTAGGTTACTAATTATAAATCTTCTTTTTTAACATACGTATTCAACATTATAAATTTACCTCTATGCACTACTTTTACTGGGTCATACATATTTTTATTTAAAGTATTTTTAATCCATTTGCACATGTTTTTCTTTGACCCATTCTTTTCATTACAATAGTTGTGACTGGATCATCCCTAATAATACTTCTATTTTAACTTTAAATGGTTAGCAGCCACAATTTCATCTGCAAATTCAACTTTTCTTTGACACATAATATGACATATCCACAAATTGTGGAGATTAGGACATGGTTGCATTTAGGATATGGGGAGGTACTATTCTGCCTCCCGCAATGGCTCATGTAAGAACAGGCCAGGTGATTTGACCCAAGTAACTCACACAAGGATAGAAAGAGCTTTTTGTTTAACAGAATGAACTGTTAATCTCTTAAATTGTTAATCATAGTACTGAGGGAAACCAGGAGCACATTTTGTGCAGATGGTTCTTCTCAGAGGGTATTTCAGTGACTCACACTTTGGATATTCAGTTGCTGTATCTCTTAGGCCTACTGCACCTCTGGACAGATAAAGAGCTCCAAGAGTCTTATCAGATGCACCAGATCTGAGTCTCTTGTTCCCTTGGGAAATGTGACTATCTGATAATTTTAATTAATTAAAAACTCAATATCTAGGTGTCTGTCACTTATTAGTTTAGTGATCTTTAGGAAGCTATTCAATCAAAGACTGAGCAAAACAGTTTGTTGTGAAGATTATTTTTTTTAAAAAAAAGACCCTTCATTGCTAAAATATGTGGCAATTAAGAAATGACTCAATAAGCTTAGCTGTTTAAATTTTAATTTTGGGTACATTTTGCAGTACATAATGATTCCATCCACTGGGAAGAGTTGGTACATGTGTATAACACATCTTTTGTCCTTTTAGCTCCTTCCCTTGCCTCTCTTCTCCATTTCTTGGTCTCCTTCCTTTTGGCAAAAGAAAAAGAAAGTTGTAGTGAGAGCAGTAATAGTAGTAGTAGCAGGACTATAATAGTAGTGTAGTGGTTAAAATGTCCATGGCACACATGCTTTTATATAATATCCTGGAAAATGATTCCTGCCAAGCACAATGGCCTCACTTATGATTTTCAGCCTTCTCTGTAGCATGTACTGGGGTTTACAGCCTGCCTCTAGAAGACACAACAGCTGGAGTGTTGGTGTGCAGACAGCAAGAATGATTTTGTTAAAGCCTGTTTTATATGTGGGTTTTGGCACTCACTGAAATAAAACCTTACCAGGTACCCTGACAGTTATAATATAAATGTTATTTATGTTTTATGAAGAGAAGTAGAATCATCTGGAAGTGGTGAAAAGAAACGTTCTACAATGGAAACTAGTGTTTTTTATTTCGTATTGAGGAATAACTGGCTTTCCTAGCTTTGTTTGATAGCTACTTCCTTTATAAACATCAAGTAATTTTTTTCATATGTGGAAGATGACGCATGAATGACAGTGCCCAAAATAATCTGTGCTGTTCTCACACAGAACATGCTCTGCTGATATTTTTAGCATAGTGCTCTTGATAAATGAATACTAATCACTGATTTCCCTGTTCTTCCCTTTTTCAGGCCCTTGAGGAAAAGCTACTTGATCAGACATCTGATAGTCACAAATTTGAAATCGTGCTTCAGAATCCCAGCACATAGAAAAAGACAATACCAATAATTATACCTGTCAAGAAGCTGTGAACACATGGTGTATAAATTCTTTACCAAGGCAACTCGACACCTCCTTTCTCCGGGCCCGCACCCCCTGCTCATGCGCTCTTTACACACACAGACCTTTGGTCCACCGCAGTGGGAATTCCCAGTGGGTAGAGGGAGAGATTTTCCAGTCTACAGCCTGAAACAGGATAAAAAGAAGAAAGTCTGTGACTTTCAAATAGATCACTGGGGCCAAAACTAAGTCAGTCTCTGGTCTGTGGCTTTTCCAGAGAATAGCAAACCCCTCCTTAGGTTGTAGTTCAAACTGCATCAGTTCAAGGTTGCTGCCACTTGATTGAGACCTATCCTTTGCCCCTCCCCTGACCTGTCCCACAACCCATATTTCTGAGTTATCTGAACTGGAATTCCAGTGAATTGAAAATTCAGCATCCAGTCTCCTCCTGAAAATGGAAAGTTACTATACTAGATCTTCTTTTCAGACTCTAGGAACAATTGGCTTCTTAATTTTTGTTTTCATGAACTTTTATGCATTAACAAAATGGGACATTTTTAGCTCAACTTTTAGTTTATTAGAAGCAAGGGTGGGAACCCAGTGCTATACTTTTTTTAATTTAAATATTGCTTGCATCTATTATTGTAAATCCTAACAGAATATAATGTATATTTATTCCACAAAATATATATTATCAGAGTACATTTGTTATAATTTAGTCTTTCCTTACCAAGAGTTATGCTCCTGGTAAGAAAATATTAGCAAAGGACCAATCATCATGAACTGACTATATATATACATACAAATGTGTATATATATACACATGTGTATATACATACACATGTGTGTATATATATATATATGTGTGTATATATATACACTCTTCCTTCTCTCAATTTTTCTTGTTTTATATTTTTGATTGATACACTCTGGAGAATCTAAACTCTTTTCTGTATACACTGATATGCTGTCATAGATGTCTATTTGACATTTCAAAGCTTTGGGCTTTCAAAAATGGACATATGCAAACCAGTGATATCAATTTTGTGAATGACAAATGCTTTCCTCTAGAAGGAAAGAGTACTTACTTTGTTTCACATTCCTATAAATAAATAGAGAAGAAAATATCTTTGGAAAGATCTGCTAAGAGCCTTGTATACAAATAACAAGTTTTTACTTGCAGTAAATCTGGGCACTTAATCTGGTTTTAATTTATGGAATTAATGGGAAGTAATGAATAAATACGTAAAGCACAAAATTTATCTGAGAAAAAAAATTATTGCCCAGTTAATCAGTCTACATAAAACATTCAACAGAGGCACATATTTGAATATTCCCTTTTCTCAAATGCAGCCATTCATTTGCCAATGTACAATAATTTTGACATTTCAGATAGTCTGCCCCAAAACAGAAATTTATGAAACACAGCTGAGAGACTATCTTTTAGAAAATATAACAAAACCAACAGAATTACTTTGCCCTGGTGCCCAGTGTGATTGTCAATATTAAGTCTTCACTCTGCATAGAGCTTTACTTACAGGAGACAAACAGCAAGGGATCTAAGGAGTGTGTCAGTGTCTTGCTGTGACAAGTTCCCACCATTAAGAGCATAATCATATTTTACTAGAGAGAGGTGGAGATGTAAGTAGGGACAGTGAGGACCCTGAATGTTATGTAAAATAGGTTTATAAAAGAGACAAGCATGACATAAGGCATAAATGGAGACAATATGGGTTTTATTCAGTTTGAAAGATAGTTCTCATTTTTATAAAAAAAAGTAATAAAACATATATTTTAGTTATTTATCAAAGAAATATTAGAGGTATTCAGGCAGTACCACAAGATTCTCATAAAAAGAAATCATTGCACCCTTGTAACAAGAAAATAGTCATCAATACATTTCAATACACTGTATTAATTTGGATCTTAAGGTAAGTATGTTTTTGTTTAGTTGTTAAATGTTCAGTGAATATAAACTTATATGATTTCACATCAATTTGATATTATTACAGTATTACAGAAGCAACTATCAAATGAGCAGATTCCTTAAATTTCTGCTTTCTAAAAGTTTTGTACTTTTATGCTTCTTTTGCATAATGTTCAGTGCTGATAAATGTTTTCCAGGTTGTTTGTCAAAGTGAAATGGCAATATGGTCTTGTATACAAATTACTAAAGTTGAGTTTGTTCAAATGTAAACTTTCCCCTAAATTTTTAAGCAAAAGTAACCATCCCTAGACTTAAAGAAGCCATTTCTGGTTCTCTCACGTTTCACAGAAGTCAAAGGGAAAGAAAACAATTATCATCATGTGTACTCGTACTCTTTATTATTAATGATCACATTACAGCCACTGACATACCCTATGTCATATTTTGAAAAAAAGGCTACTCTTTATTGAAGCTCAGCCCTTTATATAATAAACAAATCAGGCATTAAAAGCTAGGGGGAAAATTTGTTGTGACTTTTCATCAAAGATCTTGGTGAACTTTGTCCCCTGATCAAGCTAGTGACCAGTGGAATAGATTTTTCTAAACTCCTTTCTGCTATGATTTTAAAAGCAGATACACAAAGCATAGCTCAGTAATAGAATTCCTGAACCTTTTCATTGTTACATTTACATTTTGATTCTCTTGCCATATGGAATAGAACATCTGCAGGGAGATAATGAGTTTAAATTGCAATTGACTTTGGAAAGAATAACAGACTTTTGTGCTTCCTCAGTCATGTAATCAATAGGGAATTCTCTAGTTATGTGAACTACCACTATCTTTTAAGACAATGCTAAGATCTAACTGCAAAAGCTAACATTCAGGGGCCTTTTAAGGATTTGAGACTTATCTGGGAAGAACTTTGCTAGGTGTGAATTATACCAATTTACAAATGCAGTTTTCAACTGTGATCTTATCTCATTTCAGTTTATTCAGCTGTACATATAGGACTCCAAGGCATAGGATATTTTGTCTACATTACTTTAAACATCTATAGATATTTGTGGATGTGTGATTAATGCCTGAATTTATCATCTTTTAGATAGTTGTGCTTGCACATAGACTTTAAGACCAGCATTAGACAACATTATAAAGTAGAGATCAAGGTTTTGAAGATTCGTGGAGGCCAGTACACAGTAAGATATTCCAAAACATGAAATAGTCCCCCTGCTCTTGTCCCCTCTCTAGGCCACAAGCTCTATGACACAAAAGGGGCTGTGACAGCCATATTGATTACTCAGCACAATACAGGTACTCAATGAATATTTGTTGAATGCATGATTAAAGAGGTGGATAACGAAGTAAATGCATTTGCCTTCTGATAATTTCACTGGCTTATTATCATATCAATTGGCACTGTAATTTCTAACTATCATTAGAATCAGAATTGACTCTTCATACTTTCTAGGTATGTGAATTTGGAATCAAATTACTTCAGAAGGCTTCAGGGCCTCATGGACCTTTAATAAGGAACATGTTCAGGAATTCAAATTTTGTTGATAAATAGAGTTAAAACTTTCTGTTTCTCTCTGAAAGCACTTTGAATTATTTGGCAGGAATTATGTGGAATGGAACCACAAAAGTGGAGCCATATTTCTAAATTTTATAAAACATTATGTTTTAGATTGTAAAAAGGAAGAAGAGTCACATCATCCACCATAGGATTTGTGTCCTGTTAAATATTTATTAGCATTTCTCTAAGGAATCCATAGTCACATGGAGTCACCATTCCTAAACCTTGTTTTAAGGATTATTCTTTTCTATACTTGGTTCCTAGAATTTACTTGACCTAAAAAATAATATCCCCACTCAACATTACCACATATTTATCCATTTAACAAATATTTCTTGTGTGCCTGTACATGTTAGGTTCTGGAAACACAATGAGAAAGAAGAATGACATAGTACTATCGTGGAGCTTTTCATGAGAATCTTCTCCACACTGAACTCTAGCCCTAACTAGAGTTTACTGTCCGTTGAGTCCCATTCACACCTTCTGGAAATAATAAAATTCTTTGCCCCATGGAAATCATGAAAGACTCCCTCACTTTTCTGGACATAGCACTCAAAACTCCTGCTTATTTGATCCACAAAGCACAATTATAATCCAGTGAGGTTGGTACATATTGTTCTTAACATGTAGCTACTACACCAAGTGCTTTCACGGACAATCTCATTGACTCCCTTCTAAAACCCTATGCAGTCAGTTCCATTTTATACACAAGAAAATTAAAGCACAGCTATGTTAAGTGACTTGTCCAAGATCACACAGCTAGCAGGAGGAATCACAAGAGCTCATATCCCTAGTTGTTACCTGTGGCTTTGGGGCACACTACTCCATGAGAATGAAGAAGTCATTAAAATAAATGAGTCATTGTATATAAAAAATACTTTGAAATTATAAAGTAGCATACAGAAGATATTAGAAAACTATTATTCATATCACATCAGTGGTGAAAACAGGAATAGAACTCAACCTTACGTTACAGCTTACTCTCATGAAGAATACTTCAAGTGAGAAACATGGAAAAAAGGAATGATCCAGGAAATTTCTGACGCCGTAAATATTTCAGTGAGTTTCAGAATTATTTATTGCTAGTCACTGTGTCTATTTGGTGCTACAAAAACTTAAAGAAAATCCCTGCTGTAAGGGCTTATAATAAATACACAGTGTGGAGATGAACCAAGGATATTTCACATGTAAGGGGAAGGATTAAGCAGTTGTACCATTTTTTCATCATTGCATGTCCATCGTGTCTTTCTAATTGTTTTCATTATTTTTCTGAAAGAACTGCAAAACTGTGCAGTGGTTCAACCTGACCAAAGTGGTATTATGCTGCTGGGAAGTAAAAGTATTAGACACCAAACTGGAAATACTGTTTTTATTGTCAATATGCAGAAGAATTTCTAGATGCTGAAGCCACCTGAGTATTTGTGTGCTCAGTTGCTTGTGTTTCTCCATTCCAGACCACACAGTGAAATCATTCTGTTGAGGAGGATGTTCTCAAAAGGAAAAAAAAAGAAACTCTTTTCAACTTTCTACCTTCACATTCAAAACACTTTTATGACCACACTGGGGGTTGGAGGAGGAACTGTTAAAGTGGATACCAACTAGGACTCTTACAAATCTTAGAATTCAATTCTGGTGGTATCTTCCACATCTCTCCAGTTTTTCCCCTAAACTGCTGCTAGATATCTCCTTCTAAAATTATACCTTTGCTCAGAATCCTCCAAAGGATTCTACCAAGCAAAAGAAAAACCCTAAAAAATTTCAGATTCCTGGTTATCATTGTTTTAGTTATGATGTCAGAGAGAGAGAGAATGTTGTAGTCCTCTGCCATCTACAAGTGTGAATGATTACAAAACATGAGAAGGAGCAGTATTGCATGGACTGCGAAATAGAAGTTCTGTGACCCTGAAAAAAAAATCACAATCTTTTCTTTAACCTGAACTTAGATGCAAAGATAAATTTGGTAGTACTGTATGGTAAAGACTACATCAGATGGTGACCCATGAAATCCAAAAAACTTGACTTGAATGTAGTGTGTGTGTGGTGTGTGTGTAGAGAAAGGATAACAGTGACATTAAGGAGAGTTGTGGTATGAAGTGTTTTTCTCTACTTTGTGGCATTGCTTTTCTGCCTTCTTGTTGTACCTTACAGTCCACGTCAACCACTACTATGCCTGAAACCAGTCCCAAACTTTTCTTCCTCAAGTTGTTTATTATTCACGAAATGCCTCTGTCCTTCCTCTGAAAAAAAAAAAAGGCCTCAACCCTTATGGCCCATTTCTAATTATTGTAAACCTGACACTATCTGTGTCATTAAACCTCCTTATGATATGTGTATCCTTTTTTTTTAGCTCTTTCTTAGCTTCTCTTATGGTAGAGATATTTTTGAATTTATCATCTTAATTTTCTCTGCAGTTAGTCATTTCCTATGAACTGATTGGTTAACATTTCTTAAAGGGAGTCACCTTCCGCTTGTCACAGAATAGCTACCAGGTTATTCTGGATCTGTTTAAGTTGTCTGTGTCTCACCTAGAAATTTCACCTAAATTCAGAACTCAGCTCAAGACACTTTTAAAAGAGAATTATTGAACATTTTAATTAAAAGCTAAAACTGGTCAATCTTTGTTTCTTATTCACTGTGTTCTTCTGACCTGATTTTTGTCCTGAGAATGAACGTGGAGGTTGGGGTAAATATTTCAGGGGGCCAACACCATCTTTCTCCACACAATGACGCTGCAGCTAGATATTTGGTTCCTTATGCCGTGGGAGAAATTCTGCAGGGTAAGAATAGGTTTCAAATCAGCAACTGAAGAAATAGAATGGGCGACATGAAACCACTTCCGTTTAGACTTGAGTTCTCTATTGATAATAGCCCTGATTATTGCTGCTGTCCTTCAAAAAAAGGGAAAGATCAATTGCTCATTTTTAGTCTTCTTCTGCTCCCAAACTTACCCAACAGAATTAGGGAATTGTGAGACCAATTACTATTGTTACAACTGCTAGAGCTTATGCAGGAAGATAAAAGTTAGTAATACAAATCAAAATATTTATTCAACCTTAGCCCACATTGTTTTTTGTTGTATTAGTGTTATGGTGTATATTTAGATATATAAATGGTGTATATCTGGATATATAAATGGATTGTGTCTAGGGATATAAATGGTTTATATATAGATATATATAGTTTATATCTGGTATCCCCTTATATACTCAAAGGTGGGACTTTCGGAAGGTGTTTGGATTATGGTGGCCCCAACTAAATCTACAGTAGCTCAAAGGAGCCATTGCTTGTGTAGCTAAGTAGCACAAGAGGGCTCTTAGGACAGCCTTGTGTTGTGTTCCCTGAGAAGAGAAGAAATGAACAGAGAATAAGATTGGAAACCTCCTGCAGGGCCTGTGCCAGGCAGAGCTTGAAGGCACTATGGTGCTTGGGTAAAAGATGCAGACAAATCTCTCTGACACAGTCAGAAACTTACATAGGAATTGAGGACAAATTTCCTGACCCTTTCACCTGCTACTAAGTAAAAGCAGGATTTATGCTTTCTTCTGAGGCAGTCAGGGACTTAAAAGCCATTTTTGCTAAAAAACAAAAACAAAATCCTGACTTTTCACTTGGACCTTTGGAATGAAGCTTGAGCTTCATTTTATATATGGGTCTTTTAATTGTCTTAAAACTTTGTGTCAGATCCCTGTTCCTCTCTGCATATAGGCATGTTAATCATTTGAGGAATACTAGTCTAAAAGTGTGTCAGCCAGGGCTCACTAGAGTAACAGATTTAATATAATTATAATATAATATAATATAATGTAACATAATATAATGTACATATAATATACAAGGTAGGCTTACAGTGACCACCTCCAGAGTGAGGTGTGGAAGAATGAAAAAAGGCTATCTGGATGCTGGAAATCCGAAACACCCAGTCAAAGATAGAAAACCTGGAGCTCACTGAAGAGCACTGTTGGAAGCCAAAATGTCTATGTTAAAAGGCTAAAGAGTCTGAGCTGGAAGGATGAAGCATCTGCACTGGAAGCCGGAGATGGACATCCCACAGTGATGGCAAAGACTGGAACTCTTCCAAAGAAACCAAAGCAAAACTTCCTTCTTCCTTCCCCTTTTGGTTGACACCACTCACAGAGTGGGCCTTCTATCTTCAGTGAGTTCATTTGGCCACAGTCAGAATTATGCAAATCCAATCAGTTAACACAGAACTTAACTATCACCAAAAGCTATCAATACAAAAACTATCAATTATTGATTAGCTCTAAATTTTATTTAACTTCTCTATCTTCTTCATGACTGAGAACACCAAGATAAGAGATTTAGAGGCACACTAAATTACCAATGAACACTCAGAAGTCCTAAACTTTCCTAAAACTACAGTTACCTTGGATTCCAGTAGAACCTCCACAAAAGTGTGACTGCCCCAAGCAGGAATGGTCATCTCATGAAGAGTGGATTGAGTGATAAAGACTTCTCCTGGAGTCATCTTGCAAAACTAGAACTGAGATAATAATCAGCTAGACCTTAATCTACTGCAACTACTTAAAAGCTCATGTCTTCCTTTTGTTGATGGGCCAGTCTGATCTTCTTTGTTAGAGTGTCTTCCACCTCAAATAGAAATCTTATTACAGGAAAGCTGAGGTTAAGCCAGAAAGGGTGCTGCATTGTATGGTGGTCTCAGCTCTCAGATCCCCAAGATTTGTGGGGAAACCCACAGACAGGACTCAGAGTCAGAAAGTAAGTTTTAACAATCACTTTGCTGCGCATCCAGCTAGACAGCTTTATTAGAGACAAGAGTGCACTTGGGAGAGTTCTAAGCAAGCAGGGCTAAAGGAGGCATCTGCCCTGAGTCCTGCAATGGGTTTCCTTGAGTGGTCTTAGAATTTGATGTACAACACTGATGGGTTTTCTTCCAATTAACTGACAGTCTCCACTCATGTCAGGAGGGGTAGTTGTTGAATTTATATGCATTTAAAACCAGCACCTTGCCCAAAACCCATTACAGTTCAAAATCACAATGCAAATGTGTGTAAATGAGGCCTAATTGGGTAGGCAGGGTCACCATAGTTCAACTTCAGGCCCGCATCCCTATGTGTGTGTGTAGAATCAAAAGGTATAAGACAAGGTAGGAAAGGAATTTGTAAAAGAGTATGATGTACTCTTTTCAAGAAACCTGAGGGTTGCAAAACCAGGAAATCTGGAATATGGCTTCTTTGCAGAATTTCCATTCAGGGTCATACTGCCAGCTTCCCAGACCCAGCTCATTTCTGGCTAACTAAGTGTTCTAATGTTCCCCTTTCAAGCAGTTTGCACCCTGAAATCTTTCACAGTTTGTACTAAAGTTCTCTGTAACTGCTTCCAGCTGGATAGGGGCACTGTTTTCTTCAGGGTCCCACTCCTTATTCTCCTGCTGAAGTGGGATGGCCTGGGCACAGGAGGAGAATTTGGGCATAAGAGTTGCTATTGGCATGATCAAGATTAGGGTGATGAAGAACTTCAGTGGGAAGTTGGAACCCCTGAGTCAATGTTATTTCAAGCTTAACACCTTCTCAACAAGAAGAGATAAGGTTTATAAGTACATTTAGGATAAGTGATCCAAACAAGTATAATGAAACAATGAGAAAGAAGGGTGCTAAAAATGGGAGAAGCCAGGTCAGGGCTCCCCTGAAATAACTGGACAGAGCCAGTTTATTTTTTATGATTTTGTCAACTCTTATTTTTCCCAAATGGTTTACATAGAGTTTATACTCTTCTTTGAGATAAACATAACTCAGAGGGATAACTGGCCTGGCCCTGCTCTTGAGAGGAGGTTCCTGGAAGGATATCTGGTATAAATGCCTGGACTGTTGGAGCTGTCAAGAACAAAACAATGGACTCACTTTGACTTCCAGGTTAGGGGTCCAGGAATCTAATTGTCTTTGGAATCCAGAACAGAAGTTTCTGTGAGAAGAGATTTTAGGTTAAGAAGCTTTACCAAAAACAGTGATGTATAGGCTTGAGTATCCACAGAAGTTCTTTTGAAACAGAGGATCCCCACTTTGGAGGCAAGATGCTAGGGAAAGTGCATAAAAGGATAGTGTGGATGATAGCAAGCATCGGCTCTAGAAATGCAGTGGAGCTTGCAAGGTAAGGAATCAAGTGAACTGACTGGGTTAATGACCACTTTGGGGATTGGTGCCACAAATGGGAAAGACTGTATTAAAAGTAAAGAGGAGGGACTGGGGATTTAGCTCAGCGGCACAGCACCTGCCTGGCAAGCTCAAGGTTATGAGTTTGATTCCTGGTACTGGAAGGAAAAAAAAAAGTCCAAAAGTAAAAGGAGATCTGAGAAGAAAGAATCATTTACCATGGTTT